TGTGTGGCCATATCCTGAAAATTCTGTGAAACCGTTTGGTACTCTCTTTTTTCTTTCTTTCCTTGCACCCCTCCTTCCCAGCAACCTCGTCCACCCCTGACCTCCGCGTTGTAGAAACAATATTTCAAGTTGTATTCTAAGAGAAAATAGTTGTTCAAGAGTGTAAAGAGTGTTGCGCTTGTAATAGTCACGATAGTCACGTATTTGGCACAATTGGCCGGATTTTTTTCTAGTTTCAGCTGCCTATGAGCACCACTCGCTCTTGAGAACGCTAGCCGCTATATCATCTCTCGTGTTCCTTTCTTCTTTTCTTTTTCGTGCTACGGTGTGCTGTGGTTTGTTTGTTCACTCCAATTCTTGGACCCTTCGACAAATGGGGCTTCTCCTGGTTCATCGTTTGTGGCTTGTTCACTGCTGCAACGCCCTCGACACTTGAGGCAACCCTGTCCATCCTCTGTTTTTCACCCCGTGATTTCGACACATGCATAACCCTGCATTTCCCCTGTTTCATGCTTTTATGGTTTGTTTCCACGCTACGACACCCTCGGCACTTCAGCAACCTTGGTATTTTCTCTACGGTATTTTCTTTGTCGGGGTGGATATTTGATGTAAATATTGGGTTTGGTGAGGCCTCCAGTGGCGGCCAATGGTCTCGCCCTACCCGTCACCACTCGATTCCTCTTGTGACAATCGGCTCAGGTCCGCATTGAGTCGAGACTCACCTTATGTTACTTTTCCCATCGGTATGGACGCAGACCAGGTAGCCGCAACGTGAAGTATCCGGGATCGAGCAAACACCAGCAGTTGCGACGATAGGGAGTATTTTTTTTTTGTGACTTGTTCACTCCTTTGGCTCTTGAGCAACTCCATCCGTTTCCTTTGTCTTGTTTCTCGTGGTTTGTTCACCTCTTCAACTCTTGAGCAACTCCATTCGTTCCCTTTGTCTTGTCGTCTTGTGGCTTGTTCTCTCCTATGACACGACGCCCTCCGCGATTCAGCAACCTGGTCTGGGTGATCTTCGGCCCCTCGAGCTTGCTGTTCGCAACGTGGACAGCGTCCTTCGTGACCATGACAAGAATAGCGCTGGGGGAGTTCGACAACATCTACCCTCTCATGGTCGACATCGACGGTGGCGCCGCCTTTATGATCATCGTCACCTACCAGGTAAACAAATCATTTCGTGTATGGTGGCGTGTTGATGTTGCTGTTTGTAAGTGATGATGGGAGATGATGGGAGGGTCAAGTGTGGATTGTGTTGGTAGCGGTTGTGATCGTGCTGGTGGAAATTGTACTGCTGTAGCTGCTGTTTTTGCTTTTACTGGCATCGGCAACTGTTTTTGGTTGTCGTTTTTGTGTATCTCTTGCGTGTTGTTGGTTGGTGTTGTTATATCTTTCGTCTATTCGTTGTTATCTCTTCGTCATCTCGTTGTCATCTCTTTCGACAACTTCTTTCTTTTTTTGTTGTTGTTGACGACGTTGCACGTGGGTGGGAAGATGTATATATTTAGACGAGCGTCCGCAAGCAGAGCCAAATGGAAGACGGAAGTGGTAGGCATGATATCTGCATTCACCTGAACCCAAATCTGCAGTCTCAGAAAGTCCCACGGGCTTGCTGTAAACCACCCCCATTCCGTGACTGACGGTATTTCCAAAATTTGTTTTCTTTCACGCGGCGAGGTATTCCTCCTTGTAATGAAGTCATCGTCGCCACTGTTTTTTGAGAATATCGTTGCCATCCCCGCCGTTGCCCCCCCTCCTTACATGTTGAACACAGGAAGTCGTGGTTCTACCGTTTTTGCTCCTCTCGTATTTTGCTTTGTGCAGACACTGCAGTGCATTCTTCTGCTGAACATCGTCATCTCCATCCTGCTCGATGCCTTCCAGGTTTGATGTTTGGTGGAGGATGCTTTATTCTTTTTTCGGTTGTGGTTGCTTTTGTCAAGTCTTGTTGCTATTTTTCGTCTTCATACTCTGTCGACATTGGAGTCAAACCTGGGGTCACAGCCGTTGTCGGAGATGTTAACATGCTGTCGGAGATGTTGTCGGACGTGTTGTAGGAGATGACCATGGTCGCCTCAAATACCTGTCCTTCAAGGACTGTCGCTCCCTCCCTCATTCCACCCCCACCCTCCCCCCCTCTCACCCTCTCACCCTCTGGCAACTTGGACGGTACGTATTGAAAACGATGATGGTGACTATGGATGGATGCCAGATGGTCCAAACGCGTGACTCGGTGGTAGCGGCGGACACTCTTTGGCAGACGGTGATGACTACCTTGGGACGATGGCGGATTCGTCTGACGCACATGGGCTTTGCCTTGGTCCACCGATGTTCGTCTGGCACCCGACGTTCCAGGTGCTGTGGTTGTTTTTTATATTCTTGTTGTTGTTGGTGGTGGTTGTTTTGTTGTTGTTGCTGTTGTCGTCGTTGATGATCTTGTTGGTGCTGTTGCTGCCGCTACTGCTGCCGCTGCTGCTACTGCTGCCGCTACTGCTGCCGCTGCTGCTACTGCTGCCGCTACTGCTGCTGCTGCTGCTAGAGGTTGTGGTGGTGGTTGTTGATGATGATGTTGTTGCTGTTGGTCTAGTGCATGTTTTTTTTTATGGGACGGCATGGATGGTCGTTTGGTTGGATAGATGCGGACTGTTCAGGGGCAAAAGTGACGAAAGGCGTGGTGTGATTAACGCTGGTGAAGGAAAGCACGTTTACTCCCGAAATATTGCGGTAGAGCATAGTATGGACACAGAATCAAACAGGTTTGAAGTCGGCATTTGACGCTCTCCTGGCTGGCTGCGGACAGCGTTTCTCCAACCACCTTACTGTACAAGGAAACCTCGAGTATGTTGGTCCAGTCGGCAGAAACATGTGCATGTTTTATGTTATGTCCTATGCTTTTCCCGGTAACCCAGCCGACCACAGCCTCCCGTGCCCGAAGGCTGCACCTGGCATCTTTCGCGTTGCCCTACAACACCAGTACCCACATCAAGTCGTTACACGCCCGTGCATGGCACTTGATTGGCAACGAGAACAACGTGCATGGTCAGTAGCCGCCACACGTAACTGGCAATGAACGGTGGCAAGTAACCCCCCTCCCCTCCCCCCCACGGTCTCCTCCTCCCCCTCCTCCCCCTTCCCCCCCACGCCAGTCCACGGGGCAGCAGCGATCGCGGTGATGATGCCGGCACGACGGTAGTCAGGAACCCTATGCATGACAGGCACGGCGGGTGGAAGCTACGGCGACGACATCAACGCACAGCACCTACAGGTGGTGGTGCTAGCGCTGCTGCTGCTGCTGCCGTGACTGGTGTGCCTGTTGCACCGCCGGGGATAACCGGGTCGAGTTCCCGTGGTGCTCCGTCGCTTCCAACGTCCGATAAGCGGAAGGTCAGCTCGAAGAACCGCGGCGGCGGCGCGACAAGGAGGGGGGGGCTTACTGGCGGACAGCGTTTGGCGATGTCCCACAGGCACTACGAGCTTCATGCGGCGGTGGAGGTGTTGAGGCGGTCACCCTTGCCAGAGGCCGCGGTGTGGAGGAAGATGAGGCAGATCATCGGGGCAAGGTAAAGGTAATGGGATGGGATGACATGAAATGGAATTACATGCTTTATGGAATGGGATGGGATTGAAGGATGTTGAGTGGAATGATAATTGAACGGAATGGGATGGAGAAACATGAGGAATATCGTCGGGAAAGGTAATGGAATGGGATGTGATGAGATGGAATTGAATAATATGGTTGATGAGATGGAATCGAAGGATAAAAAATGGAATGTTATTGCACGGAATCGGACGGAGGAAAATGAGGCAGATCGTCGGGTCGAGGTAATGGGATGGAAGGGGCAATGAGTTTTGTTTGTACACACCTACCTCTCGATGTTACACTAGCCGGGGTCACATGGCAGGCAGGTCACACAGATAGATGGGAATAGAACAGTATGGTGTAGTAATGGAATGGCATTGAATGAGATGGGATGGAATTGAACGGTTGGAAATGGAATATGGAGTGCAGGCAAGGGCGGATGGGTGAGGTGGATGGGGTTGTGTGATGACGTTGTATGTACTCGGTTCGAACTCCAACGGATGACGTTGACTTTGCGTGAGTCAACTATTGTAGCACACACACCGCTACCATCCGCGGGCGGCTGCGGCTGTTTGTCCCTGCAATGCAACCCGCTTCTGGTTTCTAGTCAACCAACCCGTCATCAACCCCCCCTCGATCACGTGTGGTCAATTCATAACCCAAAAGGCACGCAAAACATTAGTACGCCCCCTCCCCTCCTGTTCCGGGCTGTGCAAGCTAGGGTGGGTGTCTGAGGGAGCGGGCAACAGGGGGAAGCCACTGCAGCCGGGGGCGGCGTGGGGAAGAAGCCAAAGCCGCAGATTGAGCAAACGTTGACCTCGCAGCAGCGGGCGCGTTGTGAAATGTGAACATTAGTACATTCTCAATTCAGTCATTACCTTTTTGCTGGTTGCATAAGATATTTCCACGCTGGTAGACCCCCCCCCCGCCCCCCGCTTGGGACAACTTTCCGCGGCACCTCCACTATGAGCCTGGGTAGAAGACACTTCCGACCACGTATCGTAAGGGAAGAACATGCTGTTGACAAGACGCCCCTTCGAGGGTACCGTTGAGTGTAAACGATGCAAGGCATTCAGTCACCCCGGCTCGGCTGTGATAGATTGTGACTGTAAAGCATTTCCTGCCGGTGATACACGTCGCGTGTGCGTGGCGGGGAAGAGGGGGGCGAGGCCTTCCCTTCACACAAGTGTATACAGTGCATGCAACAGCAGCCCGGCTGCAGTTTTGATGTAATGATTTCGTGTGTTCTCCGGTAGGCAAGAGAATATGACAACGCGGCTGAGACCAACTACTGTACCTCCGACCAGAGAGAGGGAAGAGAGAGGGAGGGGATGGGGGGGCACTCTTTTGTGTTTTTCATGCGTCAGCGGTTTTAGGCCATTGACCAGGCGTCCTCCAGAGGACGGAGCACTCTTCCCACAGGACCGATCACCGATGGCCGGGGCGGGGGGGTAAACAAAATGATCGTTCTGGTCTCTGATGCTTGCGCTCACAATTACAAGCTTTTGCTAGCGAATGGTGCGTGCTTACGGCCAGGCTCCGTGACAAAAGACGTACCTTCTTACAGTACTACCGGCCCGGCTCAACTAACACGGACACATTCCTTGGTCTCAGGCCAAAGACTTTCCCAAAAACGAGAATTGGAGAGGCATAAAACATCCATCTTGGGTAGCTTTTCGCCTCCCTCCTTCGACCCCCTATTTCGCACCCAAAGCACGCCCAGGTGCAAGCAAGTACGCGAGCGTGTGACTCGGAGTATGCACCTCTCCAACACATGGCACATGTGCACGCGAGCGCGATATTCGCTCAACCAATGAAGCCTATCGCCACGGCGCTACCTCTTTCCTCCAAGCCGGTAGAGATGCCGGCTTTGGCGGAGTTGGAACCTTAACTAGCGTCAATTTTTTCACAAGCCGAAATTTTTTTTCCTGTGAAAATCACAAGTTACAGGCTACATAATTACACTGCATCAGGAACCCAGAGATGAACCAATTACTTCCAAGCAGAAAGAACAATAAAAAAAAAGTCTGACCCAAACATCGCTCCATGGGTGAGACTTGACCTACCAAGAGATGCGATCATGCACATACGGCATGGTATGCATGCCTGGTGCTGCTCTATCTCTCGTTACGAGGAGTATCCGCCACAACGCCGACCTTCGTAAGGTGAAGCTGGGAAAGGCGTCGTCAACCGCGGTGCTTACCGGAGGGTAAGACAGGCGCAGGGTGACCGCCGCAGACCAAAAAAAAAAACAAACTCAAGCCTACATCAACCCGCTTAGACTGACTACACAGTAAACGGAGACACCTCGGGGCGTGCTGCCAGCACCTCTCTCTCTCGCGAACCTCTTTCGTGCGCTCGCGGCATCCCCCAACCGCTGCGCGCATCAGTTTCAACATGAAAATTATCGACAATTTAAGTGGCGCACTCAGAATCAACCTCCAAAAATGGCGTTCAAAATCAGTGTTGTTACCCTTGCCAGGCTTCCCTGCGATGGGCGAATCATCCATTCTCGAACCAAGTTATTTTGTTTTTGCTCTGAAACACTCCTTTCTGAAAAATGGCAGCACCTTTCCCCGCGAAACATAGTACGGCCGTTTGCTGCGTCCCACCCAAGATATCTTCATCGCTGACAACTCAGGATGCGACGACTCCTGGTGTCAACACCTCACAAAGTACCCTCTAATAAAAACACACACGACGAACGGCAAGATGTCAACAATTCTCAAGGGGCAAGTGCGGCCCCATTTTCCTTCCCTCAGCGCCAGTCACTCCTGCGCCCCCCTCCCGCCCCTCCTCAACAGAACAAACTGTCAGAAAGTTACAATCGGCCGAACCAAAAACTTCAAGTAACTTCCGGAGATACCAGGTAGCCAAGGGTACATCGATATCATGCGGGATCCTCTCGTGTTGTGTTTGACGAGACTCGCGCTTCCGTCGTCCCCGCCACAAAAACAACACCAAACACATATCGCGACCACGAGGCGTGGATCGTGACGTGATGATACGGGGAATGGTTGCCGTATGTTTTCACACACACCCCGGATCAGAGGGCACCATGCTCGTCGACAACTTTCGCGACGGCGGCGGCGGTTGTTTGTCATCATACGACACCCCCGCTTCCACGCCAGCCGGAGGAGGCTAGGGGCTCCGCAGAATGTTGCTCCACGCCCCACCCCCGTGGGTCACGGCTGCTCCCTGACACAGAAAAAAAAAACGTACGAGACGTGACGACAGCAGTTGTTATTGAAAGAGAATGTTGATCGGGTCAAAATCAACCCTCATCACATCGACACGTTTCAATAGGCAAAAAAAAAAAAAATGCAAGCGTGCGACGGATGCCAACAGGCCAAACTGGGCGTGTGTGTCGTTATTGGCATTGACAATTTGCCGATTCAAGTACACGTATGCAAGACTTGACGTGTCAAAGGCGAGACCGAAAACGTCAGGAACGACGACGACACGGGCATTGGGACGAAAAAAAAATGAACTACAGTCTCGCCTATGAACTTCATGTGCTAGCAGTAACGCAAGCAGCTCCCCGTGTGTATCAGAGTCCGAGCTCTCATCACCATGAAAAACGGATGGAAGTCGGCAACGTACGAGAATGCAGAACCAAGAATACGTGGACAAAACAACAACAACAACAACAACAACAGCAGCAACCACAACAGCACCCGCAGCAGCAAATAGCAAAACGGCAAGCGACGGCCCCACCACACGCCGAACCTGACAAGCAATCAACAAGCTCCCTCTCACCCGCATCGGGCAGCTTCCCCCCGCCCCCGCCCCCCATCCACCGCTGATGTTGTCGCTCGTCCCCCATCCCCTGCCCAGGCTTGGCGCCCCTGTCTAAGTTGCCATCACTGCTGGATAGCCCGTCGTAGCCCGCGTGCTCCGTGCTCAAAGAAGGGGGCCCGTCCCACATCATGCGCAGAGTTCCGTCGTTATACGACAGGAACAGGAACAGCCCAAGGGTACACGGGACTAGGTACAGGAGCGCCGGCTGGGGGAGACGCGTAATTAAGCGGGGCGGGGGGGGCGGGGGAGGCGGGGGGATATCTTAGCTTCGAAGAGCTCCGGCATGTAGGAACGCGTCCTGGAGGTGTAGCTAGTGCTGCAATAGCTTGGTACTGTGAAA